TTCCCTCCCCTCCCATCACTTCCCTCTACCTAATCTAAGGAAACGCTCTTCTTCCCTAGTGCCCCGCACCATATTGTGAATTAGCATTTGCCTATTAGAGAAAACATTCGGCCTTTGGTTTTGTTGGATTGGCTTATTTCACTTAGAATATTCTCCACCTCCAACCATTTACTGGCAGATGCCATAATTTTGCTGGTGGGACTGCAAATTGGTGCAACTACTATGGAAAGCAGTATGGAGATTCCTCAGAAAACTGGGAATAGAACTACCATTTGACCCAGCTATCCTACTCATTGTTTTATACCCAAAAGACTTAAAATCAGCATACTATAGTGACGCACACACATCAATTTTTACAGCAGCTCAATTCACAATAGCTAGACTATGGAACAAACCTAGGTGTCCCTCAATAGATAAATGGATAATGAAAATGTGGGATATATAATCTTTTACCACTTCTATTTAGTTCTTGAAACTCTAGCCATAGGCAATGAGACAGATGAAAGAAATTAAAGAGATACGCATAGGAGAAGAATTCAAACTATCACTATTTGCTGATGACATGATTCCATACCTAGAGGATCCAAAAAATTCCACCAGAAAACATCCAGAACCAATAAATGAATTCAATGAAGTAGCAGGATATAAAATCAACACCCATAAATCAAAGGCATTTCTATACATCAGTGACAAATCCTCTGAAAGAGAAACTAAGAGAACTACCCCATTTACAATAACTTCAAAAAATAAAATAAAAAACTTGGGAATCAACTGAACGGAAGAGGTGAAAGACCTCTACAATGAAAACTATAGAATACTCAAGAAAGAAATTAAAGACGACCTAAGAAGATGGAAAGATCCTCCTTGTTCTTGAATAGGCAGAATTAATATTGTCAAAATAACCATACTACCAAAAGCACTATACAGATTTAATGCAATTCCAATCAAAATCCCAATGACATTCCTCATAGAAATAGAAAAAGCAGTCATAAAACTCATCTGGAAAAATAAGAGACCTAGAATAGCCAAAGCAATCCTTAGCAAGAAGAATGAATCAGATTGCATCATGCCACACCTTAAACTATACTACAAAGCTGTAGTAACAAAAACAACATGTTATTGGCACCAAAATAGACTTGTAGACTAATGGTACAGAATAGAGGACACAGAGACAACCACCTAAATACAGTTACCTCATACTAGACAAAGGTGCCAAAAACACATATTGGAAAAAAGATAGCCTCTTCAACAAATGGTGCTGGGAAAACTGGAAATCCATATGCATCATAATGAATTAAGCCCCTATCTCTCACCACGCACATAACTCAACTGAAAGCTGATCAAGGACCTAGGAATTAGACCAGAGACCCTGTACCTAATGAAGAAAAAGTAGGCCCAAATCTTCATCATGTCAGATTAGGCCTAAACTATCTTAACAAGACTCCTTTAGTGCAAGAAATAAAATCAAGAATTAATAAATGGGAGGGATTCAAACTGAAAAGTTTCTTTACAGCAAAAGACACAGTGAGGTGAAGAGACAGCTTACAGAATGGGAGCAAATTTTTACCACATGCACATCAGATAGAGCACTAATTTCTAGGGTACATATAAAGAACTCAAAAAAACTTAACATCAATAATAATAATAATAATAATAATAATAATAACAACAACAACAACCCAATCAATAAATGGGCTAAGGAACTGAACAGACACTTCTCAGAAAATGATTAACGAATTTATGGAAAAATGTTCAATATCTCTAGCAATTGAAGAATGCAAATGAAAACTACTCTAAGATTTTATCTCACTCCAGTCAGAATGGCCGCTAGAGGATGTGGGGGGAAAGGAACAATCATACATTGGTGGTAGGACTGCAAATCAGTGCAACCAATCTGCAAAGCAATATGGAGATTCCTTGGCAAACTTGAGATAGAACCACCATTTGACCCAGCTATCCCACTCCTTGGTTTATAGCCAAAGACTTAAAAACAGCATACTTCAGTGATGCAATCACATCAATATATATAGCAGCACAATTCAAAATAGCTAAATCGTGGAATGAACCTAGATGCCCTTCGGTAGATGAATGGATAAAGAAACTGAGGTATGTATACACAGTGAAATATTACTCAGCATTAAAACAGAATAAAATCATGGTATTTGCAGGTATATGGATAGAGTTAGAGAACATTATGCTAAGTGAAGTAAGCCAATCCCAAAAAACCAAAGGCCAAATGTTTTCTCTGATATGTGGATGCCGATACATAAGTGGGGTGAGGGGGAGCATGGGAAGCATGGAGGAACTTTGGAGAGGGAAAAGGGGAAGGAGAAGGGAGGGGGCATGGGGGTAGGAAAGATGGTGGAATGAGATGGACATCATTACCCTAAGTACACGTATGAAGACACAAATAGTATGACTCTACTTTGTGTACAACCAGAGAAATGAAAAACTGTGCAATATATGTGCACTATGGATTGATATGCATCCTGCTGTAATGTATAACAAATTAGAATATATAAATTTTAAAAAATAAAATAAAAACAAAAAAGAAAAAATGTTCTCTAAACAAATGCAATTTTGAAAACATAATTGTGACCAATTGTTGAGAATTATTAAGCAGTACTGAATAAACCACTAATATAAATATATTTTTAAAAGTTGAAGTTAGTAAATATTCTAAAAACACTTCTTCAGGTTACATTTATTTTTTTTAGTTATAGATGGACAAATACCTTTATTTTGTTTGTTTATTTTTTTATGTGGTGCTGAGGATGAAACCCAGGGCCCCCGCATGTGCTGCGCCAGCGCTCTACTGCTGAGCCACAACCTCAGCTCTTCAGGTTACATTTAAAAAGATGTTTACATTTTTCCTTTATAAAGCATGAAATAAAGATCCATGATAATATCTATTTATTTATTGTTGTTTGTTTGTTTGTAGATGGACACAATAACTTTATTTTATTTGTTTATTTTTATGTGGTTCCGGGAATCAAACCCAGTGCCTCATGCATGCTAGGCAAGCACTCTACCACTGAGCCACAACCCGGGCCTCCATGATCATTTTTAAATAATTTAAATAATAATTTAAATAATTTAAATGATATGTCTTGAAAGGTTATGTAGCTGAAAATCTCTAATTATATATGTGAACTTCTTTTTTTGAAGAGCTCTCAGTACTAAAGCTGTGAAGAGAAACTGAGGAGGGAGCAATAAAGAGGACACAAGGGTGAAGCCATGAATGAGGACCTCAGGCTTACTGGCTGGACCCCGTTAATCCAGGGTCATGGTGGTGTAACACAGCCTGAACACTATGCTCCTCTGTAATTTTCTTAACTCTCATGTGAGTTTAAGGTGATAGTTTGCAAACATGGAAGCACAGGTGTAACTGCAGAGCTTGTTAAAAAACACAAATCTCATACTTAGGATATCCCATATCTGAATTTTCAACTAGCTTCTCAAGGCATTAGAAATCTTACTCTGTAGGGATGCTAATTCTAGGTGAATTTCATGCAAACTTGGCTTCAAGAAATTCCATTAATTTACCCTAAGGATTATAAATCAGAAAATAAAATTGTGTAAGTTGAGCTGTAGTTTGATGATTTGAAATGAAGCTTTATATCAATAAGAACTAATTGTGCTTGAAGCCAATTTTAAGGAGCCCTGGGTTGTACACCGCCCCCCCCCTCCACCTCCCACCCCCACCACACACAATTGCTTAAATTCACTGAATAACATTAGATCCTCTTTGGTGTAGGTATATTCCAGCTTACTAACTTGTGATTTATATTTGTTTTAATTGGATTTTGTTTTCATTTACTTTAAAAGATATGAGAAATGACCAAGTGAGAGCTACTTGGTTAATCTGCTTACTTTCCAAATTAGAATAGAGTTGCTTGAAACATAATGTAATAAGACATTTTTTTCCTTGAGAAAAACAATAATAAAATAACAAATAAATAAAGGAAAGATTTCCATTGTCCAGAGCTATCTCTTTCCCAACCTTCCATAGGGGGAATAAAACCCAGGGACCCTTTACCACTGAGATTCATTCCCAACTCTTTTTTTTTTTTTTTATAATTTTGAGACAGGGTCTAAGTTGCAGAGGCTGGCTGGCCTCAACTTGTGATCTTCCTACTTTGGCCTCACAAATCACTGGAATTATAGAAATGTGCTACTGTGCACAGTTTGAGCTGTAATCTTTAAAGAATGGGGAACAAAGAAGTCAGACATGGTTATGAACATGGCCAATGTGAACACAGAGAAGCAGAAGTGGAATAGGACAAGGGAGGCCAGGAACGACATGGGGGTATTTCTTGCCAGGGACAGACACACTAGATAACTTCTGTGACATGGTCTCCTGTGGTCTGTTTTGAGGGTACACTGGAGGATTCTGTCCTAATTGCAAGGCAGGTTCTCTAATTCTACAGAGATTTAAAATAGGAGAAATAGATAAAAATGGCTAAATGTTCGATAAAATAGTATTGATGAGAAGTAGCTGAAGAAAATGCAAATTGGCTATTACATTGAGTATAAATTTGGAAATTCTAATTGGGTCAGTTTGGGTTTCTGTGGTTCAAGTCAGTCAATCTCTTTGAGGCTGCATTATCTTCTCAGTAAATTGGGCAAAACAGCATCTGTAAAAGGAGATATTAAATATTAAATACGAAGGTCTTACAAATGGTGCTACAGTCTCTATTGTCATCATTGCTGTTATCGCTATTTTTTTTTTGATACCAGGGATTGAACTCAGGGGTACTCAACCACTGAGCCACATCTCCAGTCCTTTTTTGTATTTTATTTAGAGACAGGGTCTTAGCACCTCACTAAGTTGCTGAGGCTGGCTTTGAACTCATGATCCTCTTGCCTCAGCTTCCTGAGCTGCTGGGATTGCAGGCATGTGTCACCATGCCTGGTTTATCACTGCTATTTTAAATTACAGTTTCTTTTGGTTCAGCTGCACTTAGAGCACAGCTCAGTTATAAACCATCAGTACTCACCAATGAAGAGCTGGCTGTTGAGCTGCAAGAGGAGGTGCCCACCAGTGGGGGCAGGTTGAAACTTTTGAGGGAGCTGATCCACTTGGAGAGATGCTTCTTTAACATTTCTTTCTGCCTTCACGTGATGCCATCGGTTGTCATTAAAGGGAGTGGGTGACTGTACTGTGACTTCACAAGGACCATTCCCCACATCAAAGGAAAAGGTCACTTCTGTGGGAGCTGGAAATTGTGGATATTAAAGTTTCTCAAGTTAATTCAAAAGGGAGAAAATGTAATCCTGAGTGGACATGAAAACAGTATTGTGGTATGCTCATAATGAATAGGGCAGTGATGCAGGAAAGAATTACTTAGAGTTGGTTAGGAGGGAAAAATAAATTTGAATCCTGGAGAAAGAAAAACAAAACTGATTTTAATACATTCTTTCTCAGAGTTTGTTATGGTTGAGATATGAGATGTCCCCCAAAAGCTCATATGTGAATCAATACAAAAGGGTTTAGAGGTGCACTGATTGAGTTATGAGAGCCTTAACCTAATCAATGTGTTAATCCATTAATAGGAATTAACTTGTTGGCAACAGTAGGCAGATAAGGTGTGGCTGAAGGAGGAAGGTCCCTGAGGACATGCTTTTGGGGTTTATATTTTGTTCTTGGTAATTACAGCTCACTCTCTCTGCTTCCTGGTGCCAGGTCCTGAGCTGCTTTCCTCCTCCACACTCTTAGGCCATTATGTTCTGTCTCAACTCAGGCCTCAAGGAATGGAGTTGGCCATCTATAGACAGAGACCTCTGAAACCATGAGCCTCCAAATAAACTTTTCCTCCTCTAATTGTTCTTATCAGGTCTTTTGGTTACAGCAGTGAAAAAGCTGACTAAAACAGAGTTTAATTGCTCATCTTGCTAAGCTCTAACTAGCAGACATTTACCTATTGAAAGAAATCTAGCATGTGATCTGGCTTCATATAAATGATTTTGATTAAAGGTGATTTAAAACTTCATATAATTAAAAAAATCGTAAGTGAAATCTTTGACCATAAGAAATAAAGATTTGCACATGTGATTAAATAATGTGAGCAGTCAATTCAGTCAAATAATTTTTAATTTAGTAGAAATTAGTTATTTGACCAGTCTGGTTTAATCTCCTGACTGCACACAGAAGTAAAGTAGCACCAAACCATTATAATCTGTTGTATATCTCAGGAGATGTTGTTTCACTCTTTACCTGCTATAGTTTGGATGAGTAATTCCCCAAAGGCTCAGGTGTTATTAAAGTCTTGGTCCTCAGGGTGGTGCTATTGGGAAGTGGAACCTTTGGAAGGCAGGACCTTCCAGGAAGGTCTTTAGGTAATTGAGAGGGCATGGCCTTGAAGAGGATTGTGGGGCCTTAGCCCTTTCCTCTTTCTCTTTTTTTCCTGGCTCAGGGGTAAGCACATGCTCCCATGATGACATACTGCCCTCACTAGAGGTCCAACACTATGCAGCCACTCTATTTTGGGCTGAAACCTCTAGAACCATGAGCCAAAATAAACCTTTCTAAGTTAACTGCCTTAGATATTTTGTTATAAGGATAGAATGCCGACTTCTTTAAGATAAAAGAATTTTTTTAAAATAATAGAATTTTGGTATTTATAAAAATATACTTGATAAGGAAGCATGGCAGCAGATTAGGAATGAGAATACTAAAGGGTTTATTGCTCATTACTGAGCATTCTGTGGCTTTGTCTCAGTGGCAACTCACCGTGCAGTTCTAGTCTGATAAAGTCTGTGATACCCAGGTTCTCTACAAACACCCCAGAAGAAGCTGTTGTCTTAAAAAAGAAAGACACATCAGCACTGAGCTCTCCATGGAATGTAGGGAAATGAAGATACGAAGTCTCAGTATTGAATGAAGCTGAATTCCAAAATGAATCTGTTTATTAAAAAAAAGAGTGAAAGTAATAGTGAAACAAAACAATAATTGCATTTTATGTGTCTAGCATTTATTTTTACTATTAAATGCATTACTCATCTAAGGGAGTCTTCATTTTGAGGTTCTTCTAGACATGAAGCCATGATATGAATATCCAAATGGTGATTACTTGGATCATTAAGATTCTGGACATGGATAACTGAGTAGAATCACTATGGAAATGGTCTGTGTTTTTAAACACAATTTTACTTTTAATTTAAGGAGTTAAAAATGACTATTGATTTTGATTTTAATCTGCATTGATTTGTGTAACTTTTACCAAAATTGAGAGATCTCCCTCTTGATATCCCCCTAAACTCACATCCTTTCTTCCTCATCCCTTTATAGTTTGCCTTTTATAAAGGTCGTATAAAGAGTGATGCACTTTTTAACATTTCAAGATTGGCTCCTTTCACTCAGTATAATGGCTTTGAGATCCACTCACATTGTTGTACATATAAATATCTGCTTTTTCCTCCTACTGACTTCTCTAATGTAGATATGCTATAGTTTGACCAAACTGAAGAACATTGAGCATCATTTCCAGATTTGGGAAGAGAGCTGCTATAATATTTGTGTACAGTTTTTCGGGTGAACATAAGTTTTCATTTCTCTAGGTTAGTAAATACCCAGCATGGAATTTCTGGATCATATGGTAGGTATGTATTTAACTCTAAAGCAAACTGCCAAACAGTTTTCTAGAGTGGCTGTACATTTGTCATTTCCATCAACAATGTATGAGTATTTTTACATCCTCACACAGCACTTGGCATTAGAAGTTTTTGTTTGTTTTTTGGCAATTCACATTGGTGTGTTGTGGTATCAATTTGCCTTTCCTAATGGCTGATGTTGTAGAACGTCTTCTCATGTACATCTGTGCTATCCTTACATCGTTTTTGATGAAGAGTGTCCTCAGTTTGGGGAGAATCAACATCTTTCCTATATTGAGTTTTCCAATCATGGACACAGTGTATGTGTCTCCTCTTATTTATATTTTCTTGATTTTTGCCTTCAGTCTTTTATAGATTTCAAGTAAACATGTTTTGTTGCATGTCAGTAGGGTATGTGTGTGTGTGTGTGTGTGTGTGTGTTTAAATTCCTTGAGATTTTCTGTGAAAACAGTCATATAATACACACACACACACACACACACACACACACACATATATATATATATGTATGTATTTATGAGTAGAATTTTATTTATTTCAATCTGTGTATGTTTATTTATTTTATTACATAATTGCAGGCTTTGTCTTGTTCTCAATCTCAGGAGAAAAGAATTCAGTTTTTTTACTATTGATTACAATGCTAGCTTTGTTTTGTGTAGATATTCTTTCTTGAGCTAAAAAAGTTCTATTGCTATTTTGCTAAGCATTTTATTATAAATTATTATGCTGCATTAGTTATCATGATAATTCAAATTATCATTTAATCAATTCATTCAGAATAAAACCTTGACATGTGATTTTTATTATCTAAACTATTAGTCATAACATTCAGAAACACTAGGACTTTCTCCCAGAGCAATTCCTTGTATAGGCCCCATGGAGAACCTTGGGTCCCATAGGCTCCACAGGATTTCTCTGTCTTAGAGGTTAGCATGGCTACTGGGTCCTTGGTGGACCTCTGATTCAGGCAACATTGGAGAGTTCTGGGCAGAGGACTTACATGACAAGACTTCATTCACACTGGTGGCTGTGCTGAGAATAAGCCTGAGTGAGCAAAGACAGAGGCAGGCAGAACATTTCAAGAATGGAACAATAATCCAGGCCAGGTAGCAAAGGAAGTGGTGAGGTGTGGTCAGATTCTCAATCCATTCTTGAAGTTAGCAACAACAGGATTTGCTGATGAATCAGATGTGAGTAGTGATGAGAGTGTGAGAGGAAGAGAGAAGTTAAAAGTGACCAATGGTCTCAGTTTAAGGGGTGATGAGAAGAATGGAATTGCCACACACTGAATTGGGGAAAGTTGTAGAAATTATTTTCTTTCCCACCCCCTGATTTGTCAGGGTGAATCTGAAGCATCTATTAAGGCACAAGCAGAGGTTCATCATCCAGCCAGGTGGGCAAGCCTGAAGCTCAGTTATTGGGCTTGAGGTATAAAGTGGGGTTACTGAGTATTTAAAGCGAAGAGACTGATGGGAAGCGATCATTCTCATGCAGAGAAGGACAAGGTCAATGAGGGGAACAATGAACATCCCAACATGAGCCTATTGGTGAAATAAATACTGGAGGGAGGAGGGAAGGAGTAAAATGCAGACTTTGTGGCATGTTGGTGGCCTGGTAAGGAAAGTGAATTAAAAAGTGAATCATGATGGAGTCCAAAGTGGCTGGCCAGTCCATTAAGAGGAAAACTGAAAAATAATAATTGGGTTTAACAATATCAAGGTCACACTGGTGATCTGGAAGAGAGCAGTGTGTGGGGAGGGAAGGAGGACAAACCTTGATGGAGTTTATTTAGAAGAGACCATAAGGATGGAAATGAAGTTAGAACACATGTTTTTTGTTTTTCAGAAAGTTAAGATCATCAAAGTTCCTGGGTAACATTCAGAATTAATTAATACCTAATGGGATTAATTAATACTGTAGAATTCTGCCTATAATGGGCTCTGCCCTTTCATTTTCTCATTATCTTCTGGATTTTAGGCATATCAGCACTCATCAAAGTACTTGTACTTAGAACTTAGTAGGCATGTATAGGCTGAGCATACATAACCAAATAATCCAGGCTGAGCATACATAATCAAATAATCCAAAGTATGAAATGAATGAAAATCAGAAACTTTGAGTATTGACAGTACAAGTAGAAAATTTCTCCCTGACCTCATGTGGTAAGTTGCAGTCGAAATGCAGGTGAACTAAAAGTATTGTGTTAAATCAGTGCCATGTGCATAAGGTCATAAAAAGCATGAATGAATTTAGTGTTTAGACTTGGGTTTCATTTACAATATTTCTCATTATGCACATGCAAATATCCTCAAATCCCCCCCCCCAAAAAAAATCAAAAACAAAAACAAAACCTGAAATCTAAAATTATTTTAGATTTTAGGTCCCAAGAATTTTAGATAAGGGATCTAAAAGGAATAAAAGTTTGCTGCCTTAAAATTAGTAGGTGGGATAAGGTATAGAAAGTGCTGTCAAGCACAGTGGCACATGTCTGTAATTGCAGAAGAATTGCAAATTTGAGGCCAGACTCAGCAATTCAGCGAGAATCTCAGCAACTTGAGACCCTGTCTCAAAATAAAAAGTAAAAAGGGCTGGGGACATGGCTCAGTGGTAAAGCACCCGTGGGTTCAGCCCCCAGTACTGGGAAAAAAAGAAAAGATAAAGTTTGTTAACCAAGTGACAAATTATTTCAGATGATTCCCTTAGTCTTTACATCCGTAGTGTTATTTAAATACAGCATAAAAGAGTCAGAACCCAAAAGTAATATAATTTCTCTTTTTTTTCCATTATAATTATTTTTCTTTTTTATAAGTTAATATATTCCTATGAAATACAGATTACTAAAACAGATAGTCTTTTCATAAACCCATGCAGTTAATTTCTCATAAAACATTACCATGCATTATTAGATCCCTCTGACTGCTACTTACTGTCCCCTCGGCAGAGCAGAGGCCCCAGGGTATAAGCTGCTTCAGAGTGTGGCCGGCCTGCATCTGTCATCATAACCTGAGTGACTGGCAGGTGCTCCTTATGGGAAAGGACTCCTGTGTCACTGGTCCTAGGAAATAAACACAACCATCTCAACTTTATTCTGAATAACATAAGAAATTATAGTTTTTTATTGCAGTTCAAGAAGTATTAAGCAAATTTGTAAATACATATAGCAGGGAAATCAAAATGCTTATCTTAACACTTAGAAGCATAAGCATATATCTGAGGACAGGAGGTCACTGTTCATGCACCTGACCACTAAGAAGGAAGTGGACAGACTCATATGTGGTCATGGGTGCAGGTGTGAGGTTGCATTCTTAAAGCAACTAAGTGGCTCAGGATTCTGTCCAATTCAACCACTGTATAGAATTTAAATACAGAACTTCTGCAAAGAAGAGCAATCCGCCTTCACAAACACAAACAATACAAAAGATACCTGAATGACAAGATTTAGAATTTAAATCCTCATCATTTTATTACAATAGTCTCCATTTATCTGTAGTTTCACTTTCTGCAAATTCAGTTACTCACGGTCTGCCTTGTCGAAATATATTATTTGTTTTGACTCTTTCAAGGGAGAGAACCACATTTATTTAATTTTTATTACAGCATATTGTTATAATTATTATTATTAATATCTTACTGTGTCTAATTTATAAATTAAACTTTATCAAATATATATATTTTATATACATGAAAAAACCACATGTATGTATGTAAATAGTATACATACATCTAGCTGTACCTATACTGTGTTCATTACTATCTGTGGTTTCAGGGATCTATTGGGGTCTTCAAGATATGGTGGGGACTCTATAGTAAAGCTCTAAAAAATTCCTATTGTGGTTATTAGGTATTTTCCTACTTGTTGACTCCATAAATTTAAAAACAAAAAATCATACTGACTCAAAACCAAGATGAAGGTAGGATATAACACTCCTAAAATTAACAGGAGGGATAGAAAGTGCTTTGTCAACCTTTATCACCATCCACTCATACAACAAACACTTATTCAACATTTTCTATCTACCAGGCTTTGTGTGTTGGGTATATGGACATAAAAAACATTATCAGTGCCCCTAGGTATTCTAGTGAATATCATAAATGTAATGGCAACTATATTATTATTATGTAATGTAATAAGTGAGGAAACATTAATATCTATGTTTCCAATACAGAAAGGACTAGAAAAGGAGCCAGAGACCCTGGATTGTAAGCTGGCAATCAACAGCTTCCCCTCTGGGTAAAATAAGATTTTTCTATACTTTTTAAGCTGTTCATACTTTTTATTGCAGACTTTTCAATTATATTTGCATTTATAATTTATGGACAAAAAAGATTTTTGTCTAGTTTATCTTTCTGATGTCTCATATCTATGTAGAACTAGTAAGTCTTAATTCCTAACAGTTACAAAAGTGTCACTTACTCTAGGATACATAATTTTTTTTTTTTGACATTTAACTTTTTATTTGGAGTAGTGTAGTGGTACTCATCACTTTTGAGTGAAATTTGAATAACACCAAATTATTATTTTAAGAAAAAAGAAATGTCCTTTCCATAATGATTGAAATGTTTCATTTCTTTTTTTTTATTTATTTTTTTATTGGTTGTTCAAAACTTTACAAAGCTCTTGACATATCATATTTCATACATAGGATACACAAATTGAAGCACAGAAAAATACCACTTTGGCATGTAAAAAAAAATCCAGGAATTTAACATGGTTCAACCTAATAGCTTTACAGGAATGAATCTGAATAATTTATTAATCATTCCAATTATATTTAGCTACCAAATATTCTTTTAAGATAGAAAAGTTAGAATTATTAAAACTTTTATTCTTTCTTAAAATTATTAATAAAGTAACTGGAAGTGCATATGGTGTTATGAAAAACAGAAGATGAATATCCTGAAATTAAAAAAAAAACAAAAACGGTTTTATTGAATCAATTCATTTCAAAGTATCAGACTAAATAAGTAAGTCCCTGTGGTTCCTGCTAAACAGAAGCACACAAGCAGATTATAACAAGCACATCAATGTCTGGTTTGTCATAAATCAGGCTGTCAGAAAGCTAGAAGGTACCACCACATTATTGGGGGAGTCAGTCTGGGAACTTATTACAACTCTAGGGATAACCTGGTAAATTAAATCCTGTGATTGCCATTTGAGAGGAAAAATGTGTATATTAGTTATTCATTGAGGATCCTTGAATACCGAGGAACCATTCAAAACTATGCTTTCCAATGTAAGAAAAACTACAACTTAATTCTGTCTTCAACATTAACAATGTACATACAGAATTCTGAAAATCCATAAGCAAATAATAATGCTTGTAGTATATATTAGAACAGATTTTATAACAGTTTTATTGTTTGTAAAGTACTTTGGTAACTGTGGGAGTTTTTAACAATTATATTTAAAATTGTTCTCATTAGTACAGGGCATTCTCAACTGCTCATGTCTTATGCATGATACTAATTGTCATGGTCACGAGACTCCTTAAAACATTCAGTAAGATAATTTCCAAACCCTTTTGTTTTTGATTTCTAATTCTCTATAAATAATTCTTACCATTCACTGATTCAAAGGACTTATTTTTGTTGGTAAAATAGAACTTTGAGTATTTTGTGCTACTGAGAAAGCTACAGGGGGAAAATGGTAGGTCAAGTTTCATAATTCACAATTATTCCAGTGAAAGAGGGGTGGGAACCACATAATTATCATCCAGAATTACAATAATCTGGCAGCGTGGCCTCTCCGTTGACTTTCACTATTCCATCTGCGCATCACTGAAATAAAGCTTCATGTTTGGTGTGTCAGGTCTTCCCACCTGGTTTCCATCTTCACCATAGTCCTAGCTTCTTGTTCCCCACTGTTTATATAAAGTTTAGAGTCATGTTGAAAAAAATCATGAACAAATATTTGGCATTGGTTTGAAATTAAACCAAAAAAGCACTTGAGGGAGAGGTACCCAGTTTTATCATGCATGACAATAGAATCTTATTTCCATTTATTTAGGTCTTCTTAAATTCTCATGATCAAGTTTATGCTATCTTTTCCATAAAAAACTTACATACTTTTTAAAAAATCTTTATTCCAAGTTGTCATTCCTTTTGTTGATTTTGCAAATAGTTTTTATAACATTTCTTATGGTATCATGTTCTTTATAGGAATCCAGTTATTCTAAGATTCAGCAGCTTTATTATACTCCCATTAGTTTTAATAATTTTCTTTGATTTTTGCAATCATATTGTTTATTGCTTGTAAAGAATCTTTTTTTTTTTTTTTTTTTTTTTTTTTTGCGGTGCTGGGGATTGAACCCAGGGCCTTGTGCATGCAAGGCAAGCTTTCTACCAACTGAGCTATATCCCCAGCCCCCTGTAAATAATCTTTATTGAGTTGTTTCTAATCATTTGTTCTTTTGAATATGTATTTTTAATTTTTACTATTCACTTCTAGCCAAGTTGCATAGAGAAACTGTCCATATGGTACTAACTCTTGTAAAAATGTTTGATGTTTGTAATCAGTTTGCAAAACTATGCCATAAGTGTTAGATAAAATGATGCATCCTTTAATTTTATATGTATAACAAATCAAGTTATTAATTTGGTTTCAAAATAGTCTGTCTTCTAATTATTTTCCACCTGTTTTACCAATTACTAACAGATGTGCATTTCAACTTTTTCCTATTGGGTAATTTGTGAATTTCTTCTTGTAATTCTTAGAATTCTGAGTTATTTCTATTACAAGTGTACTAGTTTAGAACACTTGGTTCTTTCTGGTAAGATTGAAAAGTATGAACATCCTTGTTCAAAATTAGGGCTTTTTAAAAAAATCTTTATTTTGTTGATTTATTTTTATGTGGTGCTAAGGATCGAACCCAGTGCCTCACATGTGCGAGGCAAGTACTCTGCCTCTGAGCCACAACCCCAGCCCCCAAAATTAGAGTTATTAAATTTGCTTACTTTTGTGTATATTTTCCTAGTAATTTTTTTAATATTCAGTTTCATTATTTCTGCATGTACAGATAAGATATGCTTGCTTTTTATTCAATTTGACATATCTAGATTTAAATGGACACTTTCGTCACACTCCTTGTGCAAGACTATGATCTCACTCTGAATTTATTGTGTTGCTTTTTCTTTTTAAATCTCATTTGCTATCTTCTTTTTGATTAACTGAATTGCAAAATTGGGTTTTTTTTCTCCTTTCCTCCTTCTTTTTAGCATACCTGCCAACATCCCACCACTGAGCTACAACCCCAACCTCCCCAGTTTTTCCTTTCTTTCCTCTGCTGATTTGAATTTATTTGTTCTATATTTATTCTTTTAGAGATTACACCTAAAACTAATGCACACTGGGAGTAATTTAATGCTAATACCCCAAGTTCAAATTTCAATGATATTTTTACTTCTCAACATTCTTTTGGCTATTTTGTCAATTATGATCATCTTTGTTAATAGATTAGATGACTGCTTTCTCATGTTTTAATTTCATGTAGCTAGATGTGAAATGTAGCTATACATAAAATAGTTACATGTTCCTGGTGTCTGGTATTTATTTTGGGGCCTCTGAGTTTACAAATTTCTTTTCTCAATATTTCTTTTTGCATCCGAGACTTTCCCTTTAAAAGGTCATTTTCTTTCTTTTTGAAAGCTGTTCTTCAGAACTTCCTCCTGTGGGGTGTGCTGGCGGTAAACTTCTCAGTATCTTATTGCCTGAGAGGATCTTCATTTTTATCACTCATTTTTGAAAATAGCAGCTGAGCAAAAATTTCGAGATGGATAGTAATTTTATTTCCAATTATGAAGAGCTTGTTGTGCTCTACAATTCTTTCCTTTCAGAAGTCTTTCTTCCATATCTGCTTCATTCAACATTTTCTTTTTCTTTTTTCTTTTGACATTTTCTTTAAAGTTCTTCTATTTCACCATAGTATGTCTAGATATGGATTTGCTTTTATTTATCCTGCTTGGTATTTCAGTATTTTCTCTAGTCTGGAAATTTCTTACCTATTTGGAATATTGCCTCTTCCTAATTATGTCCCATCTTCTTTAGAAACTTCAGCCAGACATGCATTCTCTCTTCTCTGCAACCCTTTCAGGGTTCCCAATTTGTTTCTCTCTGTGCTACAAGCCACGTAATTTGGTTACATATATTAATCATTTCACTAGTCTTCAAATCACTTGTGTCCAATATTTGATCCAACAAGTCTTAAAATTTTCGATAAAAACAATAATTTCATTTCCAAACATTTGTTTGGTTCTTTTGTAAATAGCAATTATCTCTATTAATAGTATTTGATTGTTTTCTCAACTCCATTGCTTATTTTTCAATCTGCTCATACATTTATTTTACACTTCTAATTATACCCATTATCTGGGACATTTACATTTCCAATTCTCCCCTTTGCGGTTTCTCTACCCTCCCACTTTCTTTTGTGTTTTGTAAAACTGGAGTGTGAGCTTATACTTCAAGGCATTTTATCTGTCAGAACCCTGTGATTCCTGAAGGAAGGAGGAGGGCAGACCTGTAGTAAGAATATCTTGTAATTCTATGACAAGCTATTGGAGCTACCAACCTGTGGCCATGGTAACTTAATTTTGAAACCATCTTATATATTGCAATTAAAATTATGTATTGAATTAAAAATCTGTGTGAGGGTGTCTAGACATGAGTTTTCTATCTCATGTGCTAACTGGAAGATTTGTCCTTATTCACCTTTTCATTGGGTTTGAAGCCTTTTGAGACCTCTAACTGTAGGGAAAATTTAGAATTCCATATGTTCTTTTCATGGAGCCAGGGCCTTTTCTGATTTCCCCCATGTGGCCATTTAAGGATTTAGGGGATCAAAAAACAACTCAAGATCAGCCATGGAAAATCAATTTAACTTTAAGAAGGCTGATATTGTACTTCCATTTAATGTGAAACAATTTGGTATTTCCATTTTGTTTTATTAGAAAAATAAAACGGACATAATTATTCACAGATAAATGAAAAAAATCATTTTCATGTTTTAGGCCTTAGATGAATGACATCATACACATCAAAACTTATTCTTTAACTTCTTGGGAAATTCTTTATTCTCCCTATTGTAGTATCTTGTCTAATATCTGCCTAAGGTACACAGTTTAAGCAATTAAAAAATTACAGTTTGCACAGGGAAAGCATGTGGAAATCACCATTCATCCTGGTCAGCATCACAGTTGCAGTGATATTGAGAATCAATGCAGTTCCCCTCTAATCCACAAGTACACTTTTGAGCATCAGGCAGAGAACCTCCACAGTAAGTGTGTGTTTCATTGGTTCTTCCAACCCACCAGCTCACTGGGGTTCCATCTGAAAGACAAGTATGAGAAAGGTGACACCTACTTTGCCCCCCACTACCTGCCTCCCCATATCATTCCTTTATTCCCCCCTATGTTAAAAATAGACGATTTTAGAAGTGATCACATTTTTAACTCTACAAGAGGATAATTTTTAAAGGACTCCTGAATGTTTTAAAAATTAATATTGAGAATTATTACTATTTATACATTATTATTTTATACATTGAACCTAAAATCTGTTTGAGATACTAAACTGCCATGAAAGAATTTGTTATACAAAATATGGTTTCTTTTACTATTTTAATTAAAGTAACACTGATATTTCCTATTGTGTGTTAAAAATTCCTTAGGGACATACTAAATGGCTTGGCTCTTAATTTGGAAACTGTGGAGATTCACCTTCATGCTTGAGGTGAATTTGGGGTTCAGAACAACTCTGAGACAATTATATCTGAGTCCTCCAGCACCACTTGCTCAGAGCCACCATAACTCAGCCACGGAGTCGGAGGCCACCTCAACTCTAAGGGGGCTCATCTTGATGCTGAGTCCAGGTGAGGGTGAGAGTGAGGTGACTAGAAAGTGGGTGGTATGCAAGTGGGGAGGGGCACTTCCCCCTCCATAGAGAAGCAGGACCAGAGGGAAAATGGAAGTAACAGTAAATCAGTTGCAAAGACGCTTGTCATTTTCAACATGCTCTTTCAAACCCATCAGCTGTCACCACTGGTTCACTACTGAGAATCTGAAATGGGACCTCTGTTCTCCCTAACTCACAAGCAGCATGATGGCTCCCTGTTAGAGGAGCCCTCTGCTTCTGCTGACAACATCTTAGCTTGCAAACATACTAACTGCATTCATCATCACTCAGCCCTGAACCAGTGGTTGAGGCATGTGCAAAGAATCAGTATCAACCAGCCTTCTTCCTTTTTAGAAACTGTTGCAAACTTATCTCTAGGGAGCAGAACTTTTAACAGATATTTGATAGATGTGTTCAAAATTCCACTTTAAAAAACAATTATTCAACATTCATTCTTTCACAGATTAACAGCAAAAAACCCATATATATATATATATATATATATATATATATATATATATATATATATACATAAATGAACAATTTTGTGTTTGTATTGGAGTTTATAATTTTATTCATAAATTAGGAACAAAAGAATGTTTTTAAAAGTACAGAATGTCTTTGGCTCCATTCAAGATTTATTTGAGTGACCAAGAGAATTTGTATAGGGAATGATTTAAAAAGACATCAAAAGGAATCAGAGGCTGAAATGAAGAGGAATAAGTAAGGAATCAACGGACAAAGTATACTGTTCTACTTCCTCAAGTATTTTGGCCACAGGTACAATTGTCAGTTACCTTAGTATTCATTCACAATGTGGTAACTGAATACTTTCCCACAGCATCAACACTGTCACACTTCCTTTTTAGCCACCCATGATTGTATCCTTTGAAACTTTCTAATACAAAGACCTGGAAGATGCTAGAAGACAAAAAGTGTCTTTATAACACTGACATTCCCTATTTTGGCAGGGGAGGAGGAGGGATAGCGGGGATTAAACTCAGGGGCACCCAACCACTGAGCCACATCCCCAGCCCTATTTGGTATTGTATCTAGAGACAGGGTCTCGCTGAGTTGCTTAGTGCCTTGCTTTTGCTGAGGCTGGCTTTGAATTCCTGATCCTCCTTCCTTAGCCTCCTGAGCCATTTCCCACTGGCATGTGATACTGCACCAGGCTGACATTCCCTATTGTGTGTTAAAAATTGCTTAGAGATACATGTTTATTCTTTTTTTATTTCTTCTTTTCCCCCTATGACATGGCTTGGCTCTTTATTTGGAACTGAGAAGACTCACCTTCTTGGTGCCTAACCTTTCCTTCAAGGTAAGTTGCAAAATCAAACAACAAAAATACTACTAAACTATGGCCCATCTTGCTGTTCCCGAGTCTCTACTTGTGATTAATCAAGGTATTGGTTCCTAATACTTTCTGAGAATTTGTTTAATAAAAATTTCTGGAAATGAAATGGATCTGTATCTTGAATGCTATTTGCCCCTCTAACCTGATGCTATTTGCTCCCCCTATTGAAGTTTTTCTTGATCTTCTCACTCTGCAACATTCTAAGGAAGGCTTTAGTTGAAGGCTTTGGTTGGCATTACACCTTCTACACAAGGGCAACATCCATGTTCTGCATACCTATTTGCATTGATTGATGACACAAAGCCAATTAGTGTAATGATTTGAATGAACTGGGCTACACTAGCTGCCTATCTTATCTCTCTCTGGTTTAAAGCTTCTGAACATACATGGGTCTGTAACTGAATTTGTCTGAATTAAGTGTCTACTGAAAATTCTCCAGAGACAGCATGTAAGACATTCACAAATTTTGAGTATCTATAATGTATTCCTTTTATTTTCTTTAGAAAGGGTTTAATAAGTTTAAAATTCTTTTCTCTGTCTTTCTTTTGTCCTAAGCCCAATAAAACACTTATTTGTGTCACTCTTGTTGTTTGAAATACTTATATGGAAAGGCAACAATCAAATAAATATGTGCATATCACTAGAAACACACCACCCCTTCAGGTAGAAATTCTTTACTATCTAGGCAATTCTCCACTTCTGGAATAGGCCATATGATGGGAATACATGAGTTTTATTCCCAGACTCACTGGGTGATTTTTTTTTTCTGATTGTTATTGGTTAACTAACAGTCAAAAAAAAAAAAAAAACACTACTTCATTTGCCTCATTTTCTCTGGTTAAATGGCCCAACTTTGATTGTTTTATGTCACTGATTTAATCTCTAGGAGCCGACTTTCTCATCCTTTTGGTAATATACAATCTTAGTTCAGTGATCTATATGGTAGCAACGGACTAACAATAAGTACTAGGCCTCCTAGCTCTAACTATAAATGCAATACACTACAAGAGCTGTGAATAAATAGTATTTATTTAACATGCTTTATAGATGCTGCACTACTAAGTCTTAGAGAGATGAGTGTCTTAGCTCTATAGATTCAGAACTATTAAAGAATAGTTCAGACCCACAGATGCTGAGTGACAGACTTGAAACATGACCTCAGAGAATTCTGCCTACCACTCCCCAGCATGCCTGATCAGAGAAGGCAGACCAGCCTCCAGAAAACCAAAGAAGTATCATGATGGCAGCAGGGTTGGACATATTCACAAATTGAATGGCTTCAAAGGGAGAAGATATAAAACCCATAACAGAATTTTCCAGTGTGGATTAAAAATAAATAATCAGCTATCAGCAGAATTACCTTGAGTCCTAAAAGAACTGTAAGACACCAACTCTTTTCTCTAATTAGCAATTATCCAAGATACTAGTTGCATTCAGTCTGAGAGATAATCTCATGGAATAATCACCTTCAAATAACTAAGCCATGCTGTTAGCAATCTTTTCTGAGATAAAACACAGTGAGGAAATGCTGCCCCTCATAATGTATGAACAAGGGCCTCATCAGAACATCTTTACTGCTCAGTTGCCCAAGTGAGCCTGGGAAGAGACTTCAGACCACTCAAGCTTTCAGCAAAGAAGAGCAACTACTGCCTTGGCTCTTTGTCCCCAGGGAAAAGCATCTTTGTACTTTCCAGGCTGTGACCTTGGTGCTGTGGATACAGGAGTCTCATGAATCTACACCTGCTTGCTGCAAGCTCCTGGGAACTAAAGTCTGCAATGGCTGATGACTTACCAAGGTGAGCTGAAAGCCTTGACTTCCTGCAGTGGAAAGCTAGCTCCTGTTGGCAGTGGTCCGCCTGGTCAATTAGGGCCTGGAGTTGGTCCATGCTGGCCATGTACTTGAAAATCACAGGCTGTGGGCTTTCTCCATGAGAGCTTTTGACTCTGGCCAGGTGGGAGCCATTGTGCTGCACTGAAGTCCATGCAGAGTCTTGTGGGCAGAAAGGGGTTGGGAGGGAGAAAGCAGAACTTGACTAGGCTGAAATACCTGAAATGAGTATGAACATCAGAGGCATCTCTTATCTGAATTAAGTTTTTTTTAATCATCAGATCTCTTTGAGATTAAGAACAGCATAATTGGAATTCTTAAGATATCAGTATTAAAATTTGAAGTTTTATTGAAATTTACATTACTGTGTATTTGCGGGAATTATCTTTGGTGAAATCTGTTTGACAATTTAGTCAACATTGCTAAAAGGTCCACTTGTGAATTTCTGTGATATAATACCACAAGTTATAAATATTTATCTTTTTAATTCTAATTTGTTATATATTATATAACAGAAGAATGCATTATAATTCATATTATACATATAGAGCACAGTTTTTTATATCTCTGGTTGTACATAAAATAGTCACATCATTCATGTCTTCATACATGTACTTAGGGTAGGTAATGATGTTCATCTCATTCTACTGACTTTCCTACTCCTATGCCCCCTCCATTCCCCTCCCTCCCTTTGCTCTATTTAGAGTTTGTCTAATCCTCCCATGCTCCCCCACAACCCCATTATGAATCAGCGTCCTTATATCAAGTAAAACATTTGGTTTTTTGGGACTAACTTCACTTAGCATTATATTCTCCAACTCCATCCATTTACCTGCAAATGCCAAGATATTATCATTTTAAGAAGCATAATCTTTTCCATATCAAGTACCCAAGTACCTTTTTCTTAGAAAATCAAATGTTTGTATAACAGACACATTTGTGGAAGAAAAAGTCTATATAATAATGAAAAATAATATAAAATCAATCTTTTGAGGTGTTGGGGATTAAACTCAGGGTTTTGTGTATGCTAGAAAAGTGCTTTACCACTGAGCTACAGTCCCAACCCTAAAATAAATATTTTTGATTAAAATTGACTAATATGGCATCAGCAACTCATTCTGTGGTCAATACTAAAATACACAAGACATTTGAACATCTAATATACCTATTCCTGGTAATAACCACAGTGACACCAATGTCAGCTGACAAATTCTCACATATTTCTGTTACATTACCTATTTTTTAATGAAGGAAATTAGAAGAAATGAAAATACATTCCAAAATATTTATGGAAGAAAAAACTTTTGACTTCTCTCACTTTCTCCCCCAATTCACCTTACATCATAAAGGTATAAAAGCTTACTTCAATGGTATAAAGCCGACTTGAAGATGCCTTAACTCTTCTCTATAACATCAAATCACATGACCACCTCTGTATAATGTGAACTTGATAAAATGATGAGTTTCTCTTTCTATAGAAAAATTCCAAGTTACTGAAGACACAAAACAGTTGTGTACAGAGTTTATTTTTATTCTCTTTAATGGCTGCTACATGAACAAGATTTAAAAATCAAAACAAAAGGAACCCCCTCAGAAGTCCCCATAGGACCCTGCCCCTGCTGTGGAGACCTAGTACCTGGCTTATCTTCCATACCATGTAGCAAGGGACAAATCTGACAGCCACATTGCTGTTTATAGGTCTAAAATGCAGCAGATAAAAACAGAAATCCAAGAACTCCAGAGTCAGGGAAAAGAACTTTGGCTCAAAGCCTGTGAAAAGCAAGGTCACAAAATATCCGAAAACAAGCAAGAACCAGAACAAACTGTGAACTGGCAGGACTAAAGTCCATTTTATATTCAATGGCATTAGAATAAAAGATTTAAAAGGTCATCACCCTCTCTGTTGGCTAAAGGAGGCTATGAGCATTCTTATAGCCACTTGAATTCCATAGTATGCTTTTTCCCCTTTAATTGTATAAATTAATTGTAAAAATTGCTCTTAATTATTGAGGAGGCTACTGATAGCAATAGGTTAGAATTACCTACAACTGCTCAGTGTTCTTACACTGTAAACCTCATTGATTTACCCCAAACAAATGTAATTTTATTACAGCTTACATATTATTTTTCTTTTGGAAATATTCCTTATGTTAAATGCTATGTACTTTTGCATTGTCCGGACTTCTAATAAGGAGATGTTTCTTCTTCTGTGTTTTATACTACATCATAGAGTATTGTCAAAATAATGGGGCCTCCAACTTGAATGGATAGAAATGAATAAGCTGGTTTCTTGTATTTTCCAAATGGAAATAATTTAGATTTGTTCTCATCATATATAAATTATTTGAATTCAGTTTTAGCAAGTTGAAACTCTTTGTTTTTATGAGAAAAAAAGGAAAATGTTTGGCTTTATTTGTGGTAAATAAATGTGAAAAATAACAACAACAATAACAAAGAATCTGCACATGAAGTGGGTGCCCAGAACCTACTCAGTCCATCTAGAAGCATTTGCAGTGGAAAATGGAGGGGCCTGACTCAGTGTACTCATGCTTGCTCATCCACATCTGCTGGAAGGTAGACAGTGAGGCCAGGATGGAGTTGCCAATCCCCACAGAGTACTTGTGCTCAGGGGGAACAATAATCTTGATCTTAATGGTGCTGGATGCCAGGCAGTGATCTTCTGCATCCTGTCAGTGATGCCTGGATATATGGTGGTGCCACCATACAGCATAGTGTTGGCATAGTGGTCATTGCAGATATTAATATCACACTTCATGATGGAGTTGAAAGAGGTCTTGTGGATGCCAGAGGATTCTGTACCCAGTAAAGAGGGCTGGAAGAGGTACTCTGGACACTCATTACCAATGCTGATCATCTGCCTGTGGGGCAGCTCATAACTCTTCACAGGGAGGAAGAGGATGAAGCAGTGGCCAACTCCTGCTTGAAGTCCAGGGCGACATAGCACAGCTTTTCCTTAATGTAACACATGATCTCCCGTTCTGCTGTGGTAGTGAAGCTATAGCTATAGTCTGTCAGAATCTTCATGAGGTAGTCTGTAAGGTCCTGGCCAGCCAGGTCCAGACACAGGATGGTATGGAGAAGAGCATAGCCCTCACAGATGGGCACAATGGGGTGACCCAATTACCAGAGTCCATAACAATGCCAATGGTGCACCCAGAGGCATACAGGGACAGCACGAACTGGATGGCCACATATATGCCAGTGTGTTGAAGGTCTCTAACATGATCTGAATCATCTTCTCTCTGTTGGCCTTGAGGTTCAGGGGGGCCTTGGTCAACGGTGCTGTTGAAACACTAGGTGCTCCTCATGGGCCATACACAGCTCATAGTTGAAGGTGTGGTGCCAGATGTTCTCCATATCATCCCAGTTGGTGACAATGCTGTGCTCCATGAGGTACTTCAGGGTCATGATGCTGAGTTTGCTCTGGGCCTGTCCACCATCATACCCTGGTGGTGGGGACACCCGATGATGGAAGGGAACAGAGCCCTGGGGGTGTAAATGCCAGCAAAGCCAGTTTTGCACATGATGGAGCAATTGTCAGTGATGAGCTTAGTGATTTCTTCTTCCCTTGCAATTGCAAAGCTGCAGGAGGACATGGAGCTTGGGAGAGTCCATGAACAAGATAATGCATTCTCACTGTTCTGCTATTGTATATGTTACACGTATACGTAACATATATACATAATAGCATTGCTATCGACGTTTGTATGTTAATAACATACTGACATATTCATAATCTGCTTTTTGAATCTTAGAATTTTTAACTATAGACAAAACTTTTACTTGTATTGTTATGAAGTAAAATTGAAGTAAACCAACCACATAAAGTACCCAGTTTACAAGTATCCTTTATTATATCTCCTTTGGCATTATTTTTTCTTTGCTCAGAAATGCTCTCCATGTTCAGTCCAAGAGTGAATTTCATCATCCAGGACCCCAGAAAGACTCTCAGTTAATCACAGTTGGTCCTCCATAGCCACAGATCTTATGTTCTGTATTCTACCTATAGTAAATCAAAAAAAATATATATTTTTAAAAATTGCATCTTTACTGAACAGATAGAGATTATTTTGTCTTTATTCTCTAAATAATACAACAACCATTCACATAATATTCACAATGTCTTAAGTATTTTATGCAATCTAGAGATGATGATAAAATATATGGGAGGATGTATAGGCTATATGCACATTCTACACTACTTGAATAGACTTTAAGCTTCTGGTATTTTCAGAGTTGGGGGTTCTGGAACCAATCCCCTGAGGATATACATATATGAATACATTTTAACAGGGCATGGAATAATAGCAAAAGATGTGTGCCCTTTTACCTAAAGACCTCACATGCTGTAAGTTTAGTTGTAATGCAGAAGTGTTTGTATTTTCTTGGAAAAAGCAAATGAAACTGTGAGATAACATGCACACAAATGCTTTGCTGCTTCCACTGCAACACCTAAGAGACAACACAGCATGGCTCTGGCTTAGTACACCCTCCCAACACAGTTGCACGATGTGAATATAAGAGTCACTATTTCAAAAGCTTACAGCTTTTTCCATTGTTTTTCCCTCATAAGAATTTAAATGAAAATTAAAAGATTATATAAATGAAAAGACTGTGACTTTGGTCATAGTAGACATTTCAGAACCAAAAGATAACAATAATAACATGACAGCAGTTTTAATTCAGTGTCAGGAGTCTAGCACAGATATTCGACAGAACTGAATGTGAGAGTATATTCCAGGTAAGTGAGGTATGTGTCAGAGAAACAGGTAACTTTTGGAAGATGCACCCCCCCAATGGTAAAAAATTTGATACATTAATTTAATCTGGAATGAATATTTTTGAATTATTTTTACTTAGACACTTAAAATATAATCCAACAATTATAGTTTTTCATTTTATCTAAATAAGTTCACAACATATTTCCACAGAAAATATGGCACATGTATGTTTATAGCAAATTTCTTCATAATTGCTAAGAATTGGGAGAAACCAAAATGTCATTCAGTAGATTTACGTATAAACAAACCATAGTGCATCCATGTAACAGAATATCATCCAATATTAAATGTCAAAAAATAAACAGTTAACAAAAAGACACGGAACAACCTTAAATGAAAATTGTAAAGTAAATGAA